TAGGTCGCAGCGCGAGTATACCCGACGTACTAATAATAATAATAATAGTTTGCACATATGTATGTACATTATGGTTGCCAGATTTTTTATGCGCGAAATCAGTACTTTAGACTTTTTCATGCTAAAAAAATCAGTACTTTTCAGTACATTTTTATTCAAAGCAAAATTATGAATGTAAGTAACAGTAAATAATTTTAAACGGCTAAGTTATTGTTTTTAACAATATTTTGGTATATAAATAAAGTATAGTTCATAAAAAGTAAAAGTGTTATTCATTTTAACATGAGTGTACACATCATTATACACAGGAGCCAATAAATTATTATAAGAATTCGCTAAAAAAGAGTATCTAACTCTATTACCTTGTTTATACCAATGCAAGAACCGTATTAACAAAAAACTGATTTGACTCAACACATATTTCTTTCAAGCATTTATACCTGTGTCGTTAAAGCGCACTCGCAGAAACCGTAGTGAAAAGTAAACAAAATTTTGTTATTTTTATTCGATATTTCTTAAATAATTAATTTGCGCGGTTAACCGAAATGGAAGCGAACAACAATTCAAATTTGTTATAATAATAATTCTAATTTAAAACGGGCTGTGTAAAGAAAACCAGCCTTTTTTCACTTCGCGTCAAATGAGTGATGTGTTTATACCTGTTTTCTAAACGATGTGAGAAATAAAAAAGCGATTTGAAACCAAATTCGAGTCAACACACTTTTGAATTTCTGAGCGTATTGAAAGTTGGTTTAGGCTTCCGTTTTGAATCACAGCGAACTGGGTCAAAGCGCTTTATGTGTCGGTATAAACAAGGTATATGTCTTGTATGCAAAACTTTTTTACAAAGTCAGTAAATTGAGAAAAAAGAGTTGTAAGTTATAGGCAAAAGCCATTCGAATATTGAAATTTATTGTTATTAAACCGAAAGTTATTTTCGACAAAAATTTAAGCCTTCTTTTTAAATAATTTAAGCTCCATCATATTATCGCAACCGGTACGTAATTACCCGGCGATATGCCCATAAAACGATTGATCTCTTTGCTGTATTAATTTCTTGGGGATATCAAACATTATCTAAAACGTGTCAGCTATAATTAAATTATTTTCTTCTTATTTTTTACAATACAGTTCCAACGTTATGTAAAACCCTTAAGAAAATACTAAAGTATGTATTTTGTTTGAATAGAAAATTCAGTACAAATCAGTACAAATTTTAAAGAATCAGGACATTAGCGTACTGATTGACGAAATAAATAAAATCAGTACAAGAGTTGAAAAATCAGTACTGTACTGATAAAATCACTACGTCTGGCAACCGTAATGTACATACATACGCACGTATGTGTGCANAAAGAATCAGGACATTAGCGTACTGATTGACGAAATAAATAAAATCAGTACAAGAGTTGAAAAATCAGTACTGTACTGATAAAATCACTACGTCTGGCAACCGTAATGTACATACATACGCACGTATGTGTGCATAGTTTTTTTTTTTCATTCTCCTGAAAGAGTAAATCGAAAGCCATAAAAATTAACCATTATCAGAAGGGAAATTGCATAAGCTGTGCAACGCGACATCTACATTTCAATTATCACTCCTGCAAATTATGTATGTACATGCTACAATACTATTCTCAGCTAGTCAGGTTATCCGCCATAAAATATGCAAGCATTTTCTTACATAATCAACCAAAAATGTGTATGCTACCAAAACTATAATATCATGTACATCAATATAAAATTTACATATGTATTCTGATTTGGATTTCTCTGTAAGAACGGTTTAAATTATATTTATAGCACTCACGTTATTCTCATATAAAAATCCATTCCCACTTTAGGAACCATTGAAATTTCCTCTAAAAGATTATGGAACGTAAATCTATAAAAAAAAATTTATATTTAGTATTGTTATATTTTTTGTGGCTGTTTGGAAAATTTCTAGCAGTCTTACGTTCTTTACTTGGCACTTTTTTCTCAGCANTTATAAAAAAAAATTTATATTTAGTATTGTTATATTTTTTGTGGCTGTTTTTGAAAATTTCTAGCAGTCTTACGTTCTTTACTTGGCACTTTTTTCTCAGCAATCATTTTATAGTTGCGACGAGCTGCAGTTTTTTCTAAATTTTCTCCATCATCATGGATTTTATATTTAAGCTTAGAAATATATGCTTGTATTTAAGTTAATATGCAGCATTTTTACTTTCTGATACCATATTGTTGATGCTTTTCTAACACCACCCAAACAGGCTGTCCGGGCCACCACTGAGTCTATCTTATAGCGTGAATTTGACTATAGTGGGAGCTTGATGCTAGTCCTCAGCCGCCTCCTTTCACATTTTAACACAAATCAAAGCTACTTGAACACAATTTGCTGCACCATTTCACGCATTTTTGTAGCACCACAAACATTTAGAAAACAATACCCGCTTCATAATTTCAGCTTCTTTCAATTGGAAAGTACTACTACGTCGGTATTAGCGCTTAGCAAAGCGCTTATATATTTTTTTGCCGAAATGCACATTTTAAATTTACATTACCAGAACATTACTGCTAGCGGTCAGCTTTTGCATTAAGGAAAAAAGGAAATTGTCGCACAAACACTGAAATGGCGGCAACTAACAGGGTTGCAAACACGAAGTCCTGTAAGAGGAAAAGGAAACAGCGACTTTCTAAACCTACGACATACCGCCCTGTCACAAATTATCTGCACTTTTGTTAACTTTATAAATTGCGGTATTCGTTGATCTCTGTGTTTCTTTTGTTTCTTCCCACATCGTTCACTCTACCCGTTCTACGTCGTAGCAGGAACGAAAAAGTCAAAATTTTTTGCATTCATATACGAATAAAATATATTAATTTATATTTGAGTGGAAGTCATCAAATATGAATGCAATTAATAAAACGGCGATAGGGATAGCTGCCGGTGTTGCGGGCACAATCTTTATTGGTTATTGCATTTATTTCGACAGCAAAAGACGTGCGGACCCCGAATACAAAAAGAAAGTCCGTGAGCGTAAGTACTAAGTGTAAAGACAACGTGAAGATTGTGTAAATATATGTAGTGTAAAAGACGAAAACTATTTTAGGTCGCCGTCGTAACCGCAAAAATGGAACTGCCGGACGTAGTGGAATTCCAAATCTTAATGACCACGAAGCAATTGAGAGGTAAGGTTTATTAAGCCTTATTTATACTTATGTAATTTTCCAACGTGCTTTTCACATGCATAGCGATAATTCTAAACATGACTTCTTAATAGTGTAGAACTACCAGAGTGTGGAATGTCTGCATGCAATGCGTCATTGGTTTATAACATATATTTTTGTATATACCTATGTTGATATGTGCCTTTCCTATACTAGATTCAAAATAAAACAAAATTTTGCTTTCAGATATTTCCTTCAGGAAATTCAATTGGGCGAAACTCTAATTGCGCGCGGTGAATTTGAGAATGGTGTGGAGCACCTTGCTAACGCTATAGTGGTGTGTGGACAACCAGCCCGCCTCCTGCAAGTACTACAGACTTCACTACCAGCACAAGTATTTGCAATGCTGATTCTTAAAATGCAAGAGTTCGGCAATCGTGCAAATGCTGAAATGAGCGATACACCTAAAATAGTTGCAGCTAACTCGATTGGAGGCGCTGATATTCCTGTTGGGCTTGAAGGTGCCCAATCTTCAATTCTAATTGATGACCTAGAATAGTTGTTGAATATCTGTTGTAATTTCAAGGAAATTTGCTAATATGTAGATGTTCATTTATATGCGTATATTGTTTGCTTATGTACCTAGCTGGAGTGGATAATTATATATGCTTCTATGTACAAATACTTCTTAAACAATTAAAATAAATTTAAACTAAATCATATTGAATAGAAGGATTTTTTCACGCCTTCGTCATGAAGAAATTCATGAAAGGTCCAATCGAGTATAAGAAATGTATGCAAATTGGCAATTTACGTTGAAAAATAAAATTGGAAGTTATTAAATGTTAAATAAACTAGAAAGTTGTCGATACCAATTAAATAAGAAACGTTTAATGGTTAAATTTATTTATTTCTTTTAAAGCTTTTTAACAGGTTTGTGATCTCTTGCTCCCTTTGTACAGCATTTTTTATTGAGTGCTGTATTTCCTTTACCGAAATTGGTACGCCACCACTTTTATGGAATAAACCTACTGTATCTTTATGTACACCCAAATGGAATACAGCGCTTGATATACTCTCCTCCCGATAAGTAGGATCTACCAGCACAACACTAAGAATATTCGTACAATATACATAGTTAGGTAGAGTTACATGGTTTGTAAAGCAGCGATAAGCATATACTCACTTGTCAAACATACTGTATGTGCTAACCACGGGAAAGATATTCAAAGGCAATTCCTTCATTTCATCGCCTATTTCTATTTTCCCACTTTTTTCATCATATACAACTTTAGGCAATTTGAGCGTGCTAAGTGCTGAAGCGCAAGCCAAAATTGAGGCATCGAATACGCCACCATCAACTTCCAAACCAATGATATCTATATAAAGACACCATACAAGCTTGCCAGGGAATATGCACAGATCTTCCAATTTCAGACAATGGGATTCATTTAAAATCCTATATATAAAACATTCCAATATTTCGGCAACATTTTGATTATTACTCGATGCTGCAGCTTTAGAAAACGATGTAAATGACATATCTACATTGGGTACAATGTAGCCAGCTAGTGGTGTAGCTGCACGCGGCTTTGATAACTCTGCGCGTATGCCACATAGAATATTCGAATTTCCAATTTTTGTTGCACTCGACCCTAATGAATGTTGAAATGAGTCAATATTCACGCCAATCGGGCGATATTTATCAAAGGCGCGACCGTCGAGGCGGATATCATTTTCGAGAAAATCACGAAAATGTTTGATGGGATAGATCAATCTGAAATGATAAAAATTTTAAAATAGGTAATACATACTCGGGCATGATAAGTTATAATGGAATGGAAATTTTATACATGAATAAACGAATATGACATAAACTTGTATAATTGGCACAAGTTTTATGGATACAGTTTGATTAGTTTTTTTTTT